AGACCCACAACTGTGAGATCATGACCTGAGGCAGAATTGAGAGTCAGATGCTTAACTGACTGAGCCACCCAGGCGCTCCCTTCAGGGATGGCATCTTATTCATCTTCTGTTTCTTCACAGCGTCAAACATAGTGCTTGTTGACTGGCTTCAATTATGATTGGTATTCATGGTTATCAAATCTAGATATTTAAATCTTCTAATCCAAACTATTCTAAACTCTAATTTTGTGTATGGTGGGTAGCATATTCAACATGTATTATTTCTGCTAAAGGATGAACTGTCTTTTGGTGTTTCTACTGTGCCTGGCACAATGCCCAACATACGGCAGCAGATACCCAACATTAGTAGAATAAGTGTATCCTGGATCCCCCATTTGGAAATCCCAATGTCGTCTCAAAATTCACTTGATAAAACCTTCGCCTTCCCCTGAAACCATCCCATCTTTTGGTTTCCCGCCATGGTCAATGTCACTGCCTTTTCCTAGACTTGCAGACTATGAGCCTGGGACGTGAAGGATAACAAGAAAGCATGGCTGATTCAAGGGACATAGTCCAGACTTGCCTGACTAGATCAGGAGAAGGGGAGACTTGACTGGCTGGGTTATCAGAGGAGGGAGGAGCAGTCTCAAGGTGACTTGGGACTTCCTCCTCAGGTGTGTCCCTTGAACGTGCCTTGCTATTATTTTTCCTTTGTCATTTTGTTCACAGTGTTTTCTCAAATGCCCTACAGTTCTGCCCCACAGACCCAAATCCGTCTTCTCCATCTTGTAAGTTTCCAGCAAACGCCCCACTCCAAGTAAGCCTCACAGTCTGGTGTAGACTCTAGTGATCATTTCGACAGTGTTCCCTTCAGCCCTTTTTGAAGTGACTCACGTAGCATTTCAGCTTTTTAGTGTCTGTTCTCCTTAGGTACTGGATAGTTAGAAAGACCACTTACACTTTGCAAAACGTGCTTCACAGCACCCCTATCAAGTTAAGCTTTTAAATAAATACTTGTTTGATTGAATGGGGTGCAAACTCGGGAAGATTTTGGCAGAAGCCACAGCTGCTTTGCTTCAAGAAGAGCTTTCCACTGGAGTCAAAGCGACACCTGGTGGCTAGGGGATAAAAGGCCATGTGGTGGTAGGACGCCGGTGTGCTGGCTGAAAGGCAGAGGTGTGAGCGCAGGACCCTCTGGTGACTGGCACGTGAGACCCGTGTTCACAAATGCCACAGCCTAAGTAGTTTTGCTACTGTCACCCCAAAATTTACTTGAGGAACCACCTCAAGGAAAGCGGCTTGGAAAACAGATGGTGTCTCCTTGACAAGTTTCATTCTGATGGAATATTTTTTTACCATTGAGGGATTTACAGAATGAGTCATACCCTTTGCCCACACGTGGGCAGATAAATAATCCCACTGCGTGAGGCTTATGAGAAATGTAATGATGGCTGGAAGCAGATCTGGTTGGTTTTTCATTTCTAAAGAAATAGAGGAAGAGAGATTTGGAAGGGTAAGGGGGGGGCCCGGGCGGAGCCAAGCAGGACCAGGCAGGCTTTCCACTGTGAGGCTACATCGTCATCTCTGTGCTCAAAATATCCAAGAAAAGCAGAGGGCACCGCTAAATGGGGCACTTCCTGGAGCAAACTCTCTCTGCAGGGGTGAGGCCTTCTGATGAACCCTTTTCTTCTGAGACCTCTCAGCATGTATGGATGGTTTCTGAACTGTCCACTGTCAAATCAGGCTAACTTGTTCTGGTTTTTGAGGCTCTTGTGGTTTCTAAGCAAATCTGTTACAGATAGGCAAATCCTCAACAACTAGCCCAGTGCCTGGAACTGGTCATATTTTCTGGGTGTAAGGAGGACACAAGATCTATCTGAGTCCCTGTATCCCTGAATTCTTGGACCGTTGCCTTCATGACCCCAGCTACCTACTACAAGCTGAAAGGGAGACCGGTGTGAGCGGAAGGGAGTATTCTTGCAGGAAGAGGAATACTTTAGTACCAGCTGAAGTTTTGGCTACAAATCTCAGTGATCTCGTGAGCTGGATTAGGCCATGTCTAGTTTGGGTAGCTCTGGTCTGAGCCAGCTAGAAGCAGGCCAAAGTTGCCTCTATGGCCCCTTTTCTCTAGTTCTGTGACCATATCTTGGTCCTACAGGGGTTGCCAGAGATTTGGAAAGGGAAGAGGAAGCACTCACTGAGATTGAGAGCATCTCTCTAAAGCTGAGAGTGGGCTTTAGTGGGCTATGCGTTCTACTCCTTTCTTCTGGGTCTTGCTCTGGTTCCCATTTCCTTCCTTCCTTCCTTCCTTCCTTCCTTCCTTCCTTCCTTCCTTCCTTCCTTCCATTAAGTTTAAATTTTTAATTCCAGTAAAGTTAATCCTTTGGCTTTCTAAGGAGAGAGGAAGACTTTCCTTCCAGGTTGGATTGGGCTTTAGGACCCCTCTTACTATATAGACCCTCATGAGGGAAGAGAAGGCCTGAAAAAAGATGAATCCAAAGAGATGAATCCATAAAGAGAAGATGCCAGACATCGGCACCCACCTGGAACACATTAGTGCACCATGTTGGAGGCTTCCAAGAAGGTCCCTGACTGTCCCTCGAGAGGGACACAGGAATGGCGGGGGCAGTGAGTGGGAAGGCCTTTCACATAGGTCGAGTGAGTGAGGGTGAGCAGTGAACAGATGCCCTTCCTGAATTTATGTCATGATCTAAAACTGCTCCAAGGAAGTCTAACACAATTTAGAGAAAGTTATAACGTGAAGGTTCCTTTAGTTCAAGGCCTGAAATCTATCTTTATCCATGGCAGTGGGCTTATTTAAGCTTGAGAACAGGTAAGATTCTAACCAGGCAGAATGATCACTTTTGGCTGTTTTTGTGCCATTTGAAGATGTTCGTATTACCCGACCCATGGGGAGTGCCAGGCGAAGGAAACAGACTCGGTCTGGGTTTTGAGAAGTGGGGAGCGGGGCAGGTGCAGGGTGGGGCATTTGGCGGGGAAGGAGATGGCATGAACAGAGATGGGAACTCCCAGGGACAGTGGGCATGAGCAGGCCTGTCAGGGAAGGTATGAGGTGACAGGTGTTCGGGGGACCCCTCTTTCCCTTTTGACGGTGGCACCCAGTGTGGGGGGGGTGTGGAATTATGCCCTGCACACCATGTCCCTTGGGTCTTGTGCAGCCCCGGTGGTCCACCCTGTGGACTTCCCTGTGGCAGGTCTTCGTGCCTTGGGCTTGTGGGTGTGTGTTTTGTAAAGCTCCCCTTTACTGGAGAAGGGCTATGAACTGATGAGCTTTTGACTTTGTACTGTGCAAAATGTTGGAAATAAAGGCAGGGACTCTTTCGGACTATTTTTACTTATTTATTATTTTTAAAAAATATTTTACTTGTTTATATATCAAAAGTTAAAAAGCATATAATTCAACAGTTTCAAGAATGTCGGACCCCGCATTGGGGTATCCTTACGGGTACTGTGTGCGGCTGTCACTCTCCAGTGCATGATGAGAAACAAACAAACAGACACACAAAGAACAAAGATTTTTCACTGAGGAGCACGGTGGGATGATTAGGGTCCTACTGGCTCACATTCATTCATTCGACATCTATGTGCAATTCTTCGATGAATCGGTCTTGATGTCATGCCCCCTAGCTCGTTGGTTTTCAGAAAGATTACCTAGCTGGGGTAGTTGAGTCCAGGCTCATGGTCTCTCTCATTCTCTCTCCTCTTCCTCCTCTTTCTCAGTCTCTCTCTCTCTCCCTCTCTCACGTGTCCACTGCTCACACACAGCAGCCGGAAATGACACGTTGAAGTGAGTCACCAATGCGGCTATGAATCACCCTGTAATTGGGGAAAGTTCTGTCCTTCTAGGTCGTGCAGCCCCTTGCTCTCGTGTTCCTAAATATATTGGAAAATTTTGAAACCACTCTGTCCTCACTCCGATCTCTCTTACCCGCCACATCCTTTTGGTCCCTAAAGTGGGCTGAAGTTAGATCATCTTGCGGGGGGGGGTGGGGGGGTGTCTCAGCCCTCGAGTGGAGAAGGGCGAGGAAAAGAAGGCTCGGGCAGCCACAAGGTGGCAGTGTGGGCCCCACCATGCTGGCCACCCAGCAGGGTGGCCAGTCAAGTGGCCAGACTCCTGAGATGCAATGACCAAGACCACCGAGGAACACTACTAGCTAGTTCAGATTATACGTTTCTCTTGAGAGTCCTCTTTCTCTTTAACAAGCACATGTGGACAAGGCTGTGATAAATACTAGGCACACCCCGGCATCCCACCCTCCCCACCAGATGAGGGCCGAGAGCCAGGCACACATCCCACTCTCCCCGCCCCCCCCCCCGCCCATTCCTGAAAATAAAGTTTGTGGAAAGCAGAAACCTGCTTCTATGAGTAAACAAGTCACCTACACTCCAAAATAATACATGCACACTGTTTCTGGGAGGGAGCCGGCCAGGTCGGAGGGGGTCTCCGCAGGGAGGCGGGCAGGTGCTCTGTCCGTGTGCAGGACCGCCGAGCCAGGGAGCACAGGCCTCGAGATGAAAGGGTGTCTCTTCCACTGGCCTTCTTTGGCCCGCCGCCAGCCTCCTCAGCAGTGGCAGACAGTGCAAGAGTGACAGCAACGTGACTGGAACGCAAATAGTGTCTACCAAGCGCACAAAAGCCCCCGTAAAGCCTTCTGGTGCCATCCTGCCAGGGTCTCGGTGGGGTCCAGGTCTGAAGACCCGGATGGGCAGAGCGATGGGCAGAAGCAGCTGTGCGTGTGCCTGTGCATGTTTTACAGTCTGCTTTGGAGACTCAGCTGAGTGTTGGCGGTCTCCCCAGGGGGCTCCACGAGGGAGTTTTCCTGAAAGGTCCTCTTCTCCATTCCTGGGAGAGGCTGAGGTCTAAGAGGCAGATTTGAAAGATTTACCATTTTTTTTTTTTGAAGGCAAAGGCCTTCTCTTTCTCCAGAAAAATTAATTAAAATAAAAGTTTTCTTCCTTTGGAGTTCTTTCTTCTTGGCTACATCTCCAGTTCTGTCACAGATGAGGACTGCTTCACCCTCGTGGTCAGGGTTCCATCACTTGGCCCATGAAGAGGACTGTTCCTGAGAATGGAAGAATCGTAGGAGATGAGAACGGGGAGAAATGGCATGGCTCGCCCAGCCCCATGTTTATGGATGAGCTGAGATGTGAGAACGCGAGTGAGCTGTCTGGAGTCCCAGCTTTTGGAGTGACTAAGCTAGGGCTGGGGTCCTGGCACGGTGCTCAATTTGTGACAGAGCGTCATCCCTGAAGGGAGGAGGAGGGGCAGAGTTATGGACTGGGGCAGGAGGGAGCGTCTACACCTGTCTGGACTGGTGTCTGAGGCGAAGAGACGCGGGGGCAGGGGGCAGTGGAGCCTCCCCGCCCCGGCTCACCTGTGGGGTTGTGCCGAACCACGAAGAGGAAGGGTCTGTCCATGATGATCTCCTCGGGGGCCATTCGGGCTGATACAATAATGGCTGAGAGAGAGGAAATAATGTTAGAACAGAGGGACTGGGCACTGGTGCCTGGATTGATCATAAGTGATCCATTGACACCAGCCTTCTGATGGCAGCATTGGAGGGCGACTAGGAGGCTTAGTTGTTCTTCCCGTCACAAACTTTAACAGTTTAGGGAAGTTCTCTGAGGACTGGCTGCCTCCAGGCATTTCAGAGAGATTTACCAGCTACTCACCAACAGCTATTTGTGTAACCCTTTTTAGAATGTTGATAAGCAAGTTCCTTAAGCCGACTGGCCACCATGAGCACAAAGCCAAGGCTTCCTTTGAGGGGCCTTTTCACCTTCACGGGGCCTCAGGAGCCATTGGGTGGGGGACCGGGATCCCAGGAAAAGTGGGCCTACAGCAGGCTAAGAAACTCTGGGGGGATAAGGGTGATGCCCTGAGCACCTGGTGTGGGGGGTGCCCCTCTTTGAGGAGAGGCTGATGAAGCAGGGCCGTGGGGTTCCTCCCAGACGTGGGCCCCTCCTTGGAAGTCCTGGGGGGACACTCACCAGGCCTCACCTGAGCCTGACTCACCTGTGGAGGAGGACGCCACCGTGCCGCTCTCATTCACCTCGATCTTGACTTTTTGCAGCGCCTGTGACACGTACAGTGCCTCTTCATCTGAAACAAGCGGATCCGAGTGTGGATCAGCTGGGGTTCTCAGAGATACACTCCTTTGTCCTCTCGGGGGGGCCCCCCAGTCCACCAGCATAAGGAGGAGGTGGAAGGAAAATCTCTTACCTGAGAGACTCGAGAAGTCCGCCTGGTTTGGCTTAAACATGTCAGTCATCCCCAAGTTCTCCAGGGGTCTCCGGAGGTTGACTTCACTTTCCAGGGAGAACCTGTAAACAGGAGGGGGAAATAGCTCAAGCTCAGGCCGCCCCTTGTTGCCTCTGCCAGGCCCTGTCCACGTATCCCCCTCAGCTGACGGGATGGGGATAGGTGTGAAAGTGGAGGAGGGAGGCTTGGTTTTTTCACATCTGTGCGTCAGGTGTAATGTAAATGAACAACCCCTACCCTCACCCCCTGGAATCTTGAGGGGGGCGGTGGCAAAGGGCACATCCTCCTGCAAGATATTTGAACAAAAATCTGGTCTGTAGATTGTGTTTCTGGGAGCGAATTCTGAAGAGGACTCCAGCAGAGAGGTTTTGGGGCACCTCTGCTTCCCATCAGGGCCCGAGTCGCCTCGGTTCTCGTTTTCTAGACGTGGGGGTGGGTGGGGGTAGAGAACACAAGGGCACCCTAAACAACTGAACCTTCCTCTTTCCCCAAGCATGGCATTATAACGGCTGGAAATTTGGGGCAGGTGTGGTGGGAGGCTTCCTTGCCATTCTGGAATTACCCAGTCTCAGCCTTCTCCACCCTCTGTACTCCTGCAGAAGGATTTTTTTAATGTGCTTTGCTGGAAGCCAGCTAGAAGCTGTAGTTCTGGCTGCTTTGTCTCCTTTTGTCTCTTGTGTGGATGTTGATTTGAGCAGATGGGGGTGGGAGAGGGTCATCTCAAAGGCTGATCCATCCCTCTCCCCTCCCCGCTCATTTTTCTGGCTCTGCTTTTGGTTGGCTTTTGCTGGATATTCTGAGGGTGGGGAGTGTGGGGGCAAGGTCTAGGAAAATTCCCCGCTGCCCTCTGCCCTCCAGCAGAAACAGGAGCAGAGATGAGGAGAGGAATCTTAATCAAACCCAGGCCAGAGTGTTTCCCATCAGCTTCCCACACATGTCCCTGCCCTGCAAATGTCATACTTGGGAAACATGGGGGTGGTCCCTTCAGGGAGCCTTGGGGGAGGGGAGGGGTAGATAGAGAGGATTAGAGCATTGGCAAGTGTGGTGCGAGCAAGGGGTGACTTACTTGGGCAGAACCAGGAGGCGGAGCTGTCTGGTCATATTCCCTTTCCACTGGCTGATGAGCTGGGCATCCAGGATGTTGGTGAGGGCAGAGAGAGGCACCTCTTTTTCATAGGGAGCAGCAATGAACATGCTGAGAGTGTCCCCGTGGTAGGGCAATTCCAGGATGTCATAGTAATGGCCGTCGGGGGTGGAAAACTCAGCTGTGAAGACACCAAGACGGCGCACTGAAAATGGCTTCAGCTCTCGTTGCTTCTGACCCGGCACTGGCTTTTCAACTAGTTCTGTCTCATCCATTCTTTCTGGAAGCCACCTCTCCACCCTGGCTTTTGAGGCTCCCTAGTCGGTGTTTTTTATCCCCATTTCCCTCCTTTTCTGCCAATTCAGCATCTTCTGATACTGTCTCCTTTTGGCCTTCTTTGCCTTTACCCCCCTCTCCCCCACACCCAGCCACTGATTTATCCCAGCATCTCCTTCATCTCAACTTCCACATAGGCCTTCCCCCAGCAGGATCTGTGAGCCCCTGGTGATCACCTAGAAACACGTGGGTCATGTGGTCATATTTGGGCTGGAGGGACTTTCTGGACTTTTTTTTTTTTTTTTTGATGTTTTTATTTAATTTTGAGAGACAGAGAGAGACAGAGCTCAAGCGGGGGAGGGGGAGAGAGAGGAGACAGGATCCGAAGCAGACTCCAGGCTCTGAGCTGACAGCAAAGAGCCTGATGCAGAGCTCGAACTCGCCAACTGGGAGATCATGACCTGAGCCAAAGTTGGACACTTAACTGACTGAGCCACCCAGGCGCCCTGCACTTTGATCTTGCGTGATATAAAGCTACTTTCTGCTGCTCCAGTTATCCCAGTAGCTCCTACCTGGGGATTCTTTGTCAAAGATGGGCTATATTCGAGGGGTTCTCCTCCCTGAGAGGGGAGCACCCCGGGGAAGAGATGCGGTAGCTGTGGGACTTGGGGAAAGGGTTTTGTACTCACTGTAGTTGAACTTATTGGTCTGAGCCATCATGGGCACAGAAACAGTGCTGCCATCAGATTTGTGGAAGAGGCGGTGGTGGGTGCCTGACTCTGGGAAGGGCGTCTTCCACTGGCCATTGAAGTAGAGGGCATTCACCAGCATCAGGCGCGTCAGCTGGTTCACGGCCCCTTCGCCCAGTAAGTCGCCAATCATGCCTACGGGAAAGCCAGGTGAGCAGGAGGCTAAATATGTTTTGACCCTTTTAGATGGTTCCCTTCAGTCCTTTGAGGGGATCCGGTCAGGAGGCAGACGGGGGTGTAAGTGAGCCAGTCTAGCTGTGTTCAACCTGTTCATCTTCCTAAGAGTCTCAGGAAAGCTTCCCGCTCATCGCATGCTCTGGCCCTGGGATCCTGTCCAGGATCAGACCCGAACACTTAAGTCTTGCCTTACTTTGCTCCCCAAGCAGCAGTGTGGAGGAGCTGTGTGTGTTTCTTGTGGTTATTACTGTTGTCATGACATCTCACAGCACTTTAGGGAGGCCCTTAGAGTTGGTTCGTGAGAGGGCCTACTTTGAAAACTAAGATGCTCTGATTCTTACAGCACCTGCCCTGTCTACAGAGAACAGCATGCTGATGGGGAGAGGTTGGGATTCTGGGGACTTGTTTCTAGATCCCCTTCCTCTGCAGGCCCTTGGGACTGGCCTCTGCTCCCTGCCCGCTCACCTTTCGTGTGTGTCTTCACCCAGTCGTTGACGATGAACCTGGCTCTATCCACCTCTGAGAAGTCCACTTGCTTGACCGTGGTCCGGAAGAGCCTGAAGAAGTGAGGCATGAAGCCCTTGACCAGCTTCAGATCCCGCTGGACGAAGATGGCATCGGCCGTGCTGATCTCATCCTTGTTCCACGGCCCCATGAGCTCCTTGTACAGCTGGCGGAGGGCAGGGGCCATGCCCTTCTCTGTGCCGAGGCAGGGCCGAGAGGACACATTAGCTTATGTTGAGCCGAGGGCTCCCAGCCGGGCCAACTTCCCCCAGGAGAGGCCCAACCTTGCGCATGTGGATGGGTCTCTTCTGTTCCCCCAGGGGTCTCTGGAGGGAGATTCCCTTCCAGACCTTAATCTCTTCGGCATCTCTCTCTTCTCAAAAATCTCAGGCCCTAACCCCTTTTTGGGTTAGAATACTTTTCTCTGCTTTTGACGAACCCTAAGTTTTTTCTTATCGTAAGACTAGCTGTGCTAAGCATTCACATGTATAATCCTATTTAATCCTCACAGCAGCTCTATGTGGTAGATAGTTTTATCGTCCCCATTTTGCACATGTGGAAGCTGAGGTCCAGAGGTGTTAAGGTAGTAAGTGGTGAGGCACACCTGTTTTACCACATCCCCTGGCCTGTGCCCCTTGTGACTGACCCAGAGCCCAGTAGAGATGCCCCGTGACATGGCCGCATAGGAGCTGGCTCGGCTCAGCTGGCGTCCGCCCGCCTTCTGCTTCTGGTTGCTTACACCCCTGTCCCGTGAAGACAGTGTGAGTGCCCGCCCCCTGCTCTGCCCTGTCTCTCACCATCAATCTGGAACTGCATGGCTGCTTGGATCTGCTGCCGAGTCTCTCCTCCTGTTGTCAGCTGCAACATGGCCAGGACCGAGGCCACCCCGTAAGGTGAGAAAACCATGTTGCGGTCCTTGGAGGCCCATGCCACCTGCTGAAACACCTTCACTCCAAAGTCTGTGGTCAGTCGGGCCGCCTGAGTCTGGCGGTGGTAGGAGGCCAACCCTTCACCAAAGACGAGGGCCAGGCCCAGGGCTAGGCAGGCGAAGACTGGAGACATCCGCATCCTTGAGCAAGCGGAAAAGGATCTGGTGAGAGGAGAGTTCTGGAAAGCGGCACCCCAATCACAGGCCAGGCTCCTCGGGTTCACCGCTGGCCGGTGATACCTAAACACAAGGACAGGAGTCCTTAAGAAACCCTGATGGGCTCCGATTCTGAGCCTTTCCCCTCGTCTCAGCCCCAGGGAGTCTTTTTTTTTTTTTTTTTTAATTTTTTTAAAGTTTATTTATTTTTGAGGAAGAGAGACACGGAGCCCGTGCTGGGGAGGGGCAGAGAGAGAGAGGGAGACACAGAATCCGAAGCAGGCTCCAGGCTCCGAGCTGTCAGCACAGAGCCCGACGTGGGGCCAGAACCCACGAACCGTGAGATCATGATCAGCCCCAGGGAGCCTTAAGTGCATTTCCACCAGTGGGACTTTGGGGAACCCCTGGCAGCACCCTGTAGCGTATCTCCCTTCCCTTCAGGAGGCCAAAAGACTAAATTGTAATAACGCCTTTGATTTGCATAATGCTCTTAATTCTCTTCTAAAGCTTTCTCAACCGTGAATTTTTTCGAGCGAGCCGGCATGAAAAGCCCCTTTCCAGAAGTAGGCTGGGTGTCCTGATGGAGAGGGACGGAGAGTCGAAGCCCCTGTTTCTGTGTGGTGGGGTTGACGGTGTGGCCTGGCCACCTTCCGTCAACTCAGGTCTGCAGTTCTCCAGGGGGAAAAAGAGGAAAAGTGAGGATCGTGGACAGAGAACATTTTATGGGAGGGGTGTTCTTCGCTTTAACCTCAGGAGGAGATGGAGTTTTTTTTCTCTTACCTGAAGTTCTCAAAGGCCCCTTGTGATTGGTGGTCTGTCCTGCTCTTGCTGAATCGTGGTGATTCTGCAGCTGGAGAGGGCGTGTGGCTCTCCTGACAGTGCTCTTGGCCCCACAGCCAGACGCAGCTGTGTTCCTCCAGAGGCTGCCGCCTCCCTTTATACCAGATGTGGGCAGGAAATAGATGAACTCATGGTTCAGCCCCACCCACTTTCTCGCTCTGCAAGTCCCTCTGAACAACTGGCCAGGCCCCCTCGGCACCTCCCTCTGCCCAACTTGCAGAGGCGTGTGCGCGTGCTGTTCTGTGTGTACGTGTGTCAGAGGGGTCAGGAACAATTGGGCAAACCCCGGTTGCCTTGGCCTGAGGGCCTCCCTGGACTTGCTACCCTCTGCCTGTGTCTCCCTCTTTTTGGATGATCTTCCAGCTCGACCCCTGGCAGTGCCAGGTGGCCCCAAACTACCCCGTGTTTGGGATTACCTTCCCCGATACTCAGCTGGGGAAAAACAGTTTACGTTTCCTCCTTTTGGAGAAACGGGTCACCATGTAGTTACCAAAGAAGCCGTGAACTTTTGTCTGCCAGTGCTGTCCAGTCTGTACGTGCTGGCCAGCCTGGGGAGAACACCCCTCCCTCCTCTTGGCCTCATTCCAGTGGCCAGAGGGCACGGAGCGTGCCATGTGATTGTCTGGGTTTTGACTGTCTAGGACATGAGCATGCGGAGGACTCCCTTCCGTTTTTCCCTCTTCCCTGCCAGGTGTGTGCCCGCCCGCTGGTCGATGATACACAGCTGACTCTCCCACGTGTCCAGACTCTTAAGATGCCCTCGAGGCTCTCTTTTGTGCCAACAGCCGTGTCTGGAGGGGGTTTGGGTGTGCTGGATGGGATGATGGTGATGGAGGCTGGAAGAAACCAGGGGTTGACAGGGTAAAGACTTGGCAAGGAAGTAGGAGCCCAATGTGTAAGTTTCATTTCTTTAAGCTGCCTTCTGTGCCTGGGGAGAATTATACCTTATCCTTTCCTCGAGACACAGACACCTGGGGGGTGGTGCTGGGGCGGCCAGTGAGAGTCAGTTCGTGGCGGGTTTGTGGGGTGTGCTTCCAGGACACCGGGCTTGGGGATGGAAGACTAACTCAACAATTCTGCAGAGGGTGGGAATTGGCCAGAGACTGGTGCGTGGGACTGCACCTGGGGGCTTGGCAGGGTCAGGTCACGTGCCCAGGATGTTGTGGACAGAGGGGTGGCTGGGTGGGGAGATGATGCACTTGACCCTGGGCTCCACACGCTGTCTCGCTTTGTGTAGGTGGTGGGGTTCAAGTGAGAGTATCCATGGAGACAGCGGATAGCAGAATCACAGGAAGTTTAAGTGGGTGGAAGCTTCGGGATATTTGTTTTGGATTTTTTCAGTAAGCAGATACCAAGGGCAACCACAGCTGGACGGCTTTCCCACTTTTTACTCTGCCTCTGCCTGTGTTTTCTCTGTTGCCCCTAGGAGTCAGGTGGGGAGGGGGTGGCAGGGAAAAAAGGGGAAACCTCGGTCGGAAAGTTAGGATCACCCACTCTTTTCAAGTACAGGACTGTTCCCATGTAACTGCTTCTTGTTTATGTCCTTTTCTTTTCTTGGTCTCGTTTGGAGTCTCTGAGAGAGTGGTTAAGCATGAGAAGGTGGTTACTTCTGATCTCTTTCAAGTGGAGAAGACAGAAGTGAAGCCCCCAACCCATCTCCTACCCCCCAGAAATGCCCCCAGTGCCCTGCCCTCCACCTCTGGGGCTCAAGGGGGATGGGGACATGGGCATCCAGGTTGGGAGTGCCAAGCCCCAAGTTAGAAGGGCAGTGGGTCGAGACCTGGTTGAAAGGGGCTCCCTTGAGGTGCCCCACTGCCCATCCTCTCCAGCCACTTCAGCTGACCCTCCTTCCCTTCTTTTGTTGGCCATCCAAGAACCATTGTCCTGGACCTGATGGATGATCCTGATGCCATTCCAGAAAAGACACTCTGTTCCCAGGCATGGAAGGGAGCAGCTCTATGTCCTGTTGGGGAGAAAGGGGACATGACTTATGTTGAAAACACAAAGAGCTGACTTAATCAGGGTTTTTTCCAAAACTGGAGGGAACGTGTAGGTATCTGGTGGGTGTAGATTAGAAACTGAGGCAAGGCCCGGTGTAACTGGGTCCCATGCTGGGGTTTCTGACTCTTCCTTTGACTTTCTCATGAGCTAGGGCCGCTGGATGATCTAAGCCCAGACGTGACCGTGACCATGGTGCCTGTTGCTCCTCTGTGTGTTCAGGCCTTGCTTCCACCCTGTCTGCCCTCTGGAGACCTTCCACACATCACAGTGTAGCCGGATCGCCCCGCCACCCCCAGACAGACTTCCCTGCGACGCCCTTCTCAGAATCCAGCCTGATTCAAGGGGCCACATCACTATCCCTCCTTTCCCCGAACCCCAAACAAAGCCTTGACCCAATCACCTTGCTCAAGCCGTGGCTCTTTTGTAAGGGGTCAAACAGCAGAAAGAGAAAAGTCCCTGCTTTTGAAATTGCTGGATCTCTGATTCCCAGAGGGTCAGAGATAAGAGCATGAGTTACAAGACTGTGGATTTCTGGGGAAGTTTCAGTTCCAGCTAATTGGGAAAGGTGTTTCCATCTGTCCGCTAGCAGGTGGTTCATGACTAGACCACACTCACGCTTTCCGTGACTGTCCCCCCACCCCATGCCCGTGGGCCCTGGCAGCCCTGGTTCTCTGTGGGCCTATCTTCCCTTCAGTCTTTCACCTCCTGTCCTTCAGCTGCCCTCTTTGCCTACTCCCTTCTCTTCCTCTTTGCTCTCCCAGCACCACTACCTGCTTTCTTTTTCACTTTCCCTTTCTCTCTCCGAGACTCCCTTTTCTTGACTTCTCTGTTCAACCCGTGGTCAACTGGTCTACTCCACTAGCCTCAGCCAGCCAGGGGAGGTCTCTCCCACTTTCCCTCTCTCTCTTCCACTCTCTCTGACTCAGTCCCCCTTCCCTGGCTTCCCCTCTTGAAGAATCCCTTTTACAGTCAAATGCTCTGCTCCAAGTCTTCCTGCAGGGCGGAGAGTGCTGTCCCCTATCAGTTACACAGGCTCCCTGGAATGTTGGAGCTGGCCTCCTGATTCTTGGTGATTTCACTGGGAGAGCTGGGGGTGGGAGCAGAACAGGGTCCTACTAACTCACAGCACTATTTCTGGCCTGGTTGCTCTCCAAACAACACAACACCAAAAATAGCCTGTGTTTAGGCTGGGCTGGCTCTGCCCTTCTCGTAGGAGTGAGCTGGGGTGAGTGCCCTGTGTCCCTCCCTGCCTATCCTTGCTTAAGATCTTGACCCTGGAACCCTGACAGACACGGGCCACCTTGGCCCGTCCAGGGTCTCTCCTCACACTGGTACCATGCCCAGCGCGTCTGCCCTTCCTCTGCCTGCATAACCACCTCCATCTCCCTTTCCCAGCCACCGCCAGCCTTCTCTCCTTAAATGCCTGTAACATGACAGCTTGAGGAAGGCAGAGGGCAGCCCCCAACCCATCTCCTTCCCTCAGTCTCAGCCCCGCTTGTCCATAGTTGCTTTTTTTTCTGCAGTTATATCCCTGCGTTTCAGAGCAGGAGGGTCTGAAGAACCATTTAATGCAGCCCTTCGAATTTGCAGGCATGGGCCCTGAGGTCCACAGAGGCTGCATGATGTGTTTGAGTCCACACGGTGCCATCCGGTGAGGGGGAACGGTGGTCACTGCAGTGGATGGACCCACCTGGTCCCAGATCTGACACCTTGCTGGTCATGTGTCTTTAGGTAAAACTTAACTTTTGGGTGCTTTGGTTTTCCGTTTTGCAGCTAGGTGCAGATGACAATTTATAGGTAGGTTGAGAATGATCCCCATCCCTCAAGGTTGTTGGGGTTACATGAAATATTGTCCCCAAGTGTCTGACATGTTCTAGGCTCTCACTAAGTGGTGGCCACTCTTGGTCGGGAAGGAGCCAGAACAGGAACCCAGATGGCTTGAGCTGTTAATTTCAATACAATGTGAGTTCCTTGATGTGGGTGTTCTTTTCACTTCCCTTGGCCTGTACTGAGTGTTGACATCAAATGCCTCGGGCCCCGGGTGGCCGGTGACAGGAGGGAATGGCTACCAGCCCCTCTTGTCCACTTCAGGCCGGATCTTCTCTTTTCTACCCCCCGCCTGGTATGCTCCACTGGCTGATGG